CCTCAACTCTACTATCAGTCTCTACGGAACAGATTCCAGCTGCAGAAGGAATAAACATTTTCCTGGTGCTGACTTTTTCCATGATAGTCCATGGAATTGGTACAGTCTGGATCGGACAATTGAGTGAATAGAGAAATATATATACCACAAGGATATCTTAAGTGGTCTTGCAAAACACCCCATCTTACAGTGGGCATAGGTAGAACCAGGGTAGATGGTATGAGTGCTTTCCATTATCCTGGCTCAATGCAAGTTTGGGGTAAGTAAACCCTGGAAGGCAACACCTGCCACCTGGTGGGTTCCCATGAAAAGAAAATAAGGGGCTTGAAAGAGGATGAGTGTCCATTCATCACAAAGACAGTGGGATGTACAGCAAATGTACAATGTTTCGACAAAGTTTTGTCAAAAACGAAGATGAAGGTTGGGACCCTGCAAGGAAGGTCCTTGAAAAGGCATAATGAAAACGATGCAGGTCCGATAGGTGAAAGAAAGAAAGGATATAGAAGGAAAGTACCATAAACCACCTAGGTGGACAAGGTTCAAGGAAGATTGGGGCAGACTAGGGAGGGGAATATAAAGGTAAGGAGAATAAGGGAATGAAAACCACCTATAGGATAGACATATGAATAATAGTAACTGTAGAGGAGGAGGAGAAGGTGGTAAAAAAGGCAGCAAATAAATGGCACGAATGGAGCATACTCAAGATCGTGCAAAATCCAATTAAGGACACGGGGTAAGGTAAGGAGTGGAACAGAGTAGAGAGGACATGGGAAGAAACACTACCAGGTACCATGAAAGGAGAATGGTCCTGGTCAGGGCCACCTGACAACCAGCCAAGGAGGAAAATGACAAGCCATCAATGAACAGTTAGGTAAAAAAGACAAAGATAATTCACAGAATAAATGTCAGAAGGAAATGGATTGGTAAAGTTCCAATAGCAAAAGACCTGTCAACAACAATGATAGACAAAGACAGTGGAAGGGCAAGAAGAAAGCGACAAGAATAGTGTCACATGAGCATAAAGCCTGGTCTGATGGACAACAGAATGGGTAAAGTCCCTGTGTGAGGGTGGAGGGAAGATATCCCCCCAAAGAAAAAGGGATGTATGAGGGTGAAGCAATAGAGGTAAAATTGGGGAGAGAAATAGGGGTGTCCACGAGACAAGTGGACTAAGGCAGAGCTGGTCAATAAAGACCATTTAAGAGGAAGCCTGAGTATAGAAGGATGTTTAATGCATTCAAGAGAGGAACGACCAACCAACAGTAACCCCCACCAAAGACCACTTGTTGACAGAATGCAGACTGGCTCAGAGAGGAGGACCACCTCCAAGACGTAAGTATCTAGTAAATGACATCCAAGAAGAGAATGGGCCCAAATGTGTATGTGTAATGCCTAAAAGCATAAGGCCTTGTAATGGGAGCCTCATGGGTGGATGAAGTATGAAACAACAGTGGAATAGACTGAATGGAACATGTCCAAGTGAACCACCATTTGAATCAGTAAGTGAAATGTGCTCAGCAAATAGCAAGAAGGTCAGACATGATGATGTGGAGTGGATACATGGCTGGTGTCCAAATATCAGAAATACTTCCCACCTCTAAAAATGTACCTCATTCAGAAAGAGAAAGATTGAAGAATGAAGGTCCAGATTGCAAGGTGTAAAGGAAATGCAGAACATAGTGGAGCATGGTCCTGTCACCATAATAATACCTCAAGGAGAGGCTCACAAAAGAGTACAATGGACCTAAAGAAGAAAACCTTGGGTCTTCAAGGTCCACTGTAGGAGACACAAGAGTGCATGCTCCAAAGGAAGCCAGAGTCCCCAAATACAAAAGAACTTCTCTTGCAGGTAGAAAAGGCAAAGATGTGAGGGAAGGTGCCCCACCACATTGACCATGGCCACCTGCAATCCAGGTAAAAAATATCATAGATGGTATGGAAGAGTAGAGAAAATAAGAGAAGAGGAGCAGGGAAAGAAACCATTGTGGAGAAAAAGTAAAACAACAGCAGGAGAAAAACTGGGTACCCACGGGTTCATACTTGTGTGATAGCCACTGACAAGAAAAGTGACAAACTAGATGTTGGCAGAGAGGAGGAAAAAAAGAGAGGAAAGACTAGAATCTGGAATGGGAAGATGAGGAGCAGACTGAACCAGATGAGGAATAAGAGTAAATGGTAAAGTCAAGAAAAAGGAAAACCTGGGAAGGTAACAAGGACAGAAGCCATATGACATCAGTCCAAATTACCAGGGAGAAAGGAGCTCATCTGAGAACAATTGGGCAAAGAAATGGAGACAGATGAACAATAAGTGCACAAGAAAAAGGAAGGAGTACAGTAAAAAGAACAACCTGATCCAATGAGTCTCAACATCAGGGAACAAATGACAGAGGGAAAGAGCAGAAGAAGAAGAACAAGCTGAACAGAAAAAGAATCAAACATCTACAAAGGCCCACCTAAAGCATGAAGAAGTGCCTCAGATAAAAGGAGGAATTAGGAGAAGTAGTGCAAAAAGGCAGAGAAAGTGAAATAGAAGGTATGAGCTCAATCCACAAGCTGGCCAGAATGATCCCAATGAAAGGGAATTGAGAAAGAGAAAGGGTCATGGAGTGATAAAACGATAATTAATAAAGAACAAATCAAATTATAAGGAAAAGAACATACCTGAGAATGAAATCCAGACAGACAAAGGAAGGTTAAGGTCATTTCACGAATGGTAAGGTACTACCCAAAGAAAACACATGAAGGTCACATTCCAACAGATTATTTCAGACTGAGGAGAAAACTTAATAATTAGGACAGGAGTAGGAGGCTCAGTAAACAAGTGGCAAACTACAAAATATTGAACAATGGCTGCAACGACCCTGATGGCTAACAAGTCTCCGAAAGCCATAGTAGAAATAAAGCCTAAGTGTGAATCGCATCAATCACTCTGGACTAAGTATAAATCCCCGTCTTTAAGAATGCATGATAAACTTTAGAGTTTTTGAAAGAAAAACAAAATTCAAAGATGCAATTCTCAACACAGACAAGAAAATTAAACACATCTGATCACTACAATGCCAAGGAGAAGAATGAAGTTTACACGAATGGAAAAGCATAGGAGGGATTTATTGTGCATGTAGGTGTGTTGCCCTCCTATTGGTGGAAGGCTTTGTTGCATGATAACATCATCATGCAGTAGTGCAATTCATGTTAAACACATGAAGTTAGATGGGAGTTGCCTTAAGGTTAGTAGCATGCAAATCTCTTTGGAAGATGCACGAGGAAGATGGCTAAAACTGTGTGTAGAGGTGAGTTATCATCTCGGAAACATAGCTTTAAAATAAAACATAAAAAATTCATTGAACTCTGACTCACGTTACAAATATACTGTGTTCATGCACATGTCTGAACTCCTCTTTACATTACTTATAACTTTACATCATCAAATGGAAAACATTTAATGTCATATTTAGAAAACTATATGAACAAGGTTACATCACAAACATGTCATAATTCTGCTTATACACATGCATGAACTCCCCCCACCATCTTTTCTATAACATATAATAACAGATGGTTGGCTAGATTTCTCTCATTACTATTTTTTATTTCCTAAGTTTGTTTACCAGCAGTTCTTGTCTGTTTACTTTTCCATCATGATTGGTGTCAATGAACTCCTTAAACTCTCTTATTCTCTCCTTCTTCCAGTTTTCTTCACTCAATTTACTGTCATCATCTTGAGGCATCTCTGCAAACTCAGTTTCTGACAAATGTTCATCACCATCTGTATCTAAAAGGAAACAAAAGATG